TTTACTGGCCTAAGGAGTGAACCCCAGCTTCCATTTCCCTAAGAAATCAGAATGTGAGCGGGCTGGGCAAATGGAACCCAGTAAGACCAAAGGGAAGGTGTGGTCACCTTTTATCTCCCCTAGCCCTGGGCAGCTCTCAGCACTCTCCTTTGTATCTTACAGATGACAGGAGAATCTGGGGAAGAGCAAGTGTTCAATCTAGTTATCATTTATTGAATACCTTCTGTATGCCAGACACTGGGCACACAGAGATGAACAGGGGTCCTGAGACACAGGCCTGTTCTTGCCCACGGACTAAGAGTGTCCTTAAGTTTTATATTCCCCATCATTATCCATCCACTTCTGGTTCTATAACTTCTCATTAAGACTAATATATAATGGTGACTTCAAGTCTAGATGGCCTGACAAGTGTTTAAATAGCATCTCCTGAGTTGTTACCAATGCAAAGAGATGTCCAAGTTCTGTAAGACCAAAGTTTGTTAAATTAGATGAAGTAATAAACTCCATGTCTTTCAGCAGAAATGAGAGCACATTAACTTTGGTGATACTCAGTCCTAGTCCCCCCCCCCCACATTCAACAATCATAGTTTGGCTGAATAAATGATTGGGCAAATGAATGAGTGAATAAACAAGCCAATTAGTGACAAAAGCAGCCAGACCTTCTGATCTATATTTTATGTATCCACTGACATTAAACCAAGAGCTAAGTAAGATCCTTCTGTGCCACAGAGAGAAGTCGTAAGAGGAACACGTGGGCTCTTGTCCTCTTCAAACCATGCATGCAGCCCAGCTGAGGTCTGGGAGCACTCGCCCCTAGCTATCCCCCAACACACATGGCTTCAAGGGGACCAAAAGAATGTGAAATCAAAGTGCCCTGGGGTTTTGAGGTGCTGGATGGTGTGGAAATGAATAACACTGAAGAAGGAACTTGGATCCAGGAGATGTGGCTCAAGTCCTGAATCTAGTGCCTACTAGCAAGTCACATGCCCTCCTTGAACCTCAGTTTCTTCATCTGTAAAAAGCTTAAAAAGACCCTTTTTGTGGTTAAAATGCCCCTTCCAACATTAATTTAATTGTAACAGTATCAAGAGGTGGGACTTCAAAGAGGTGACTGAGTCATGAAGGCACCACCATAATAAATATGGCTGTTATTGCCATAGTGGGATAGTTATGGCAGGAGAAGGCTCCTGATGAATGGATGAGACCAGCTGATTTTGTTCTCTTTCTTGTGTGAGCATCCTGTTATGTGATGCCCTCCACCATGTTATGACACAGCAAGAAGGCCCTCACCAGATGCCAGTGCCAATTTCTTGGACTTTGCAGCCTCTAGAATTATAAGAAACCTCTGTCCATTATAAATTGCCCAGTTCTGGTATTCTGCCATAGCAGCAGAAAATAGATGCACCTGTGTCACAGCAGGTGGTTTCAGGACCTCTTGGGGACCAAAACCGGCACACACTCACATATCCTTTTTATGAGATTATGAAGATTAGATGAAGTAATAAACGTAAATGTACTTTCTGAACCATAAACACCCTCAACATGTAGGCCCTAAGAATAATAAAGGTTAGATGGTCAAGATGGCAGTCAGAAGGTAGTGGCCCGGGACCCCTAGCCAAGGTCCAGGATGAAAGGTCTTTTGCTGAGCCAGCTGCCTGACACTGCAGTACCATTTCCCTTCCCACCCTCCCTCCCCCGCCCTCTATCAACACTGAGAGCTGAGACATTGTGCAGCCTCAGCTCTGAGGCATGGTGTCACACTGCAGCATCTGTCACTCAAGAGTGCACGGAGTCAAATGTGAGGTGACACCTGGAGATGAGGTGGGAAGTGAGAGCTGTCAGCTGGGACTACTGCAGGTGCAGGTGTCAGGAAGGCAAAAGGGTATTGGAGAGGGGGCTGCCTGGGGCAGGGGTAAAAACCACCAGCCCTGGATCAAAGGGCATGATTCAAACCCCTGGCTCTGCCACCAAGAAGCAGGTGATCTGGGGCAAATGGTTTAACTTCTGGGAACTCAAGATGACTCACTCCTGAAGTCTGCTCTGCCTGCCTCTCCAGGTTGGCAATACAACATGTTTCATTAAAAGGAAGACCCCCCCTGTGATGAGGGTGCCTCATAATTTAACGTACCACTAAGAAAGAAAGGAAGAAACATGTCACAAATTAAACTCTACCATGCCACCACTGCAAGACACAGGCTGGCTTCAGAGATGGTGTGCATCCTAGAGGCGATGCAACGTGGTAGATGGACACCCTGTGTGAATGTAGGACTAAACATGGTCATCCACTCCAGAGGGTTAGAGCCTGAGGCCCTCAGCAGGGATGCAAGAGTGCCACCCCTTTGCCCGGAGTCCCTTCCCATGTGAATGAATTAAGGGGAAAGAGACCTGTAGATGTTGGGCAGAAGGCTAAACAGTAGGTCTGGAGGGGGCCAGGAATAAAGCCTGTTGGTTCAGGTGGGAAGGAGGGGTCAGCAAAGCCACCACACAGCCAGTGGAGTCTGAAGAGCCACCAGGAGAGGGAGATGAGAAGGCTGGGCAGAGAGCCAGAGGGGACAGCTGACCTGCACCAGCTCTCGGGCACCACCTAAATACACAGGCAAGGAACCAGGACCTTCTCCACAAAAGAGCCCTGAGGTCCCCATGAATCCACACCTTCAACAGCGTGACAACCCTGTCAACAGTCTCCTTTGGACTTCTCTTGTCCAGTCAAATGGCCTGGTTCCTCACCTCCCTTCACCCATCACCTTTCCCAGACCCCACACCAGAACAGCCAGGTCCCCCTGTGAAGTACAGTTGACCTGTGGCATCTACAGCAGGTGGTTTCAGGACCTCTTGGGGACCAAAACCTGCACACACTCACATACCTTATATAAAACAGCATAATATTTACACATGACTTATGCACACCCTCCCTCCCGCACGCTTTAAATCATCTTTAAATTACTTATAATCCCTAAGACCATTAAGTGCTATGTAACAAGTTGCTATAATGTGCTGCTTAGAGAATAATGACAAGAAAAAAAGTCTATGCATGTTCAGCACAGATTCAAGTTTTTTTCCAAATATTTTCTGTCCGTGCTTGCTTGAAGCCACTACTTAGAATCTGCAGACCCAGAAACTGAGTGCACTTTACCCTGTCAAAACGTCTGGTAAAATGTGACATACAAAAGACATATGTTAGAGCATCTTTAATCATTATTTATCACAGCAAAAAAACAGAAGGCAATCTAAGTGTCAAATAATCACAAAAACACGAAGCTGTGTATGTCTATTTAACGAACTGCTCATCAGTCATTACAGATTTTTACCCAAGTATGGAAGAAGATGCGAGATGCTCGTACTCTATTGAGAAAGGCAGCAAAATCACAAGCATCGAAAAGAAAGCAAACACCCCAAAATAATTAGGAGTTTTTCTTAATCCTTGTTTTGATTTTTCTGTATTGTATTTAATGGACACACAATGGTTTAGAATAAAAATAAATCAACTGGACAAGAAATTTCAAATGATCTCTGACACACACAGAACCCAGCACAAGCCGTCTTCACGTACACACATGCACCAGAGCACTTTTCTCCCAGACAGAATCATAACATTTTTAAATGGCTCAGATTCTCAGGTAGCCCTCGCTTATATGTTATTTATTGTAGAGATGTGTAAGACACTGTCCAGGTGTGCCGCATTTTCTATGACAGTGTACTTCTGCAACACTGTGCATAAAATGTATCTTTATTTACTAAAGCATATTAAAATGTGGTTTTCTTTTTTAGAAAAATAACCTCTATAAGATCCTTTGGTGCAGCAATGGATGATTTTAAACATGGATGTCACCACTCTTCATCCATTCCCTTTATCAAAGTTGGCCTGCTCGTAAGCTACATTTTGATGCATTATATCTTCAACTATTTCACTTTCACTTAATCACAACTGGTCGAAAGGTTAAAAATATCAGTCTTGTTTCTCATCCACAAGACAATGAACAGATGCAGTGGCTCCCAAGCCTTTCCTCTTCCCTACCCTGACTATTCCCCAGGGCAAGCTCCTCTTTTCTCCCCTCTCCTTTTGGTCAGTCATAGTGGTGGCTCCATAGTTCTTCCAACTCAGCTTTCTGTGCCCTCTCCTCTTTGCCTCTCCAGGTTGTATTGCTGTCTGTTAGGCAGCTGGATAAGGGAGTTTCCATGCCACACCCCTTGCTGCCACACTACACAGGACTGCTCCTCTCCCATGGGCCCAAGAGCCACCTGACACAAAGACCCACAGCCATAGAAGCCCCATGCAGCCTGCCCAGCGCCACCACTGCCACGGTCCACTGCATCTGCTGCCAATGGCCCTGGGTCAGCCCAACATCCTCACAGTCAATTCATATCCTAAAAGAGATTTATCAACTATCTAACTGAACCTACTGCCTTCACATATGCTCTGTGACACTGGGTTAGTCCCAATATTATATTACTATATTAATTTCCAAGGAATGACTTGTCAGACATTTTAATGTAATTTAATTTTATTCTATTGATAAATCTGCAAATCATTAAAAAGTTTCATTGTCAGTACTTGAGTCTTAATTATCATTTCAGAATATATGGTTGGGGTCTTCCCCAAGCCCCAGAGAAAATGCACTTGCTTGTATCTTTGGCCTCTTCCTGGGGGTTGCCTCTCAGGCCAGGGCAAGCTGTATGCTCTGGTGAAAGGGACCCTCCCCAAGGAAACAGGTATTCAGTCAGCCAGCCAAGCAAGAATGGGAACCCAGGGCTGCCTAGGAGTCCCATGGTCTCTGCCTCATGCCACAGGCATTTCCACAGTGCCACAGATATTGCCCCTACCCCACACAAGGCTGGTCATCTAACAACCAGCCCCATGGGGAATCTTAACCTTAAACTTTTTCTTCTCCCCAGCTCCACAGTCTGCTCTCCTGCCATCCCTGGACTCCCCGCACCAGCCATTTCATGACACCACAGGCTCCCCACACTCACAAAGAAGTAGAGCGAGGGAGAGGACTCACCCACTGAGGACCACGATGAAGTCCATGACATTCCAGCCATTGCGGAGGTATGAGCCCTTGTGGAAGATGAACCCCAGGGCCACAATTTTGATCCCAGCTTCAAAGCAGAAGATCCCAATGAAATACGGTTCTGTCTTCTCCTGCGGGGACGAGGAGCAAAGGTATTAGTAAGCGGGGACTGCACTTTATCAGATACCCACAAAGGCTCACCCAGGGCACCTCCCACCCGGCTGTGCTGGGCCAGCCCCATGCAGATAGAAAGTGAGGTGCTGAAGAACACAAAGAGACTAGGGCTGCAGATGTTCTGTGCTTCATGGAGTACACAGAGCAAGGGGCCTGATGTCGAAATGGACAGATGTGGGGCCACACCTAGGGACCAGACTTCTGCCCCCAAAGGTCCCTGACGGCTGCCCTGGCTTTGCACTGAATGAGCTGGCTCTCCACCCCTGGTCTGCATACCAGCTGAGAACTTCAGAGCTCTCGTGCCTAGACAGTCAGGCTGCAGCCACTCACCCACACATGTGGGTCTGAAGTAGTCTGTCTGCTCTCTTGAGGGGCAATATACGTTAGGAGAGTAAATCAGTTCTTGAGGGAGAATATGGACTTTGGCTCTTAGCAAGCTCATAACCACCGACACACACACCTTGAGCTTGCTTTTCCTCTCCCCCTCCCTCCCCTTCTCCTCTCACTTCAAAAGTCCCTTAGGAAAGAGGAACGAAGCACGTGGCCCTCGCACCTGCCCTTTTTTCTCGCCTGGCTGCCAGGCGGTGTACACACACCCGTCTGCAGTGCCCTCTCTCCCCTGTAAGTCCCAGTGGGGTTTGTTACTAACTTGTCCCTTGGCAAAGAACAAACTCCTCACAGAACTGTCAGGGGGTGGGGGGAGCAGGGAGGGCAATGGAAACAAGGAAAGGGAGCCAAGGAAGAGGAAGGGAGGGAGAGAAAGGGCTAGAAAGGGAGAAGCACATACCAGTCTTCGGGACATGGGCGTCTTGTCATCCTCTGGAAGATGCTGCTCCAGGGCCAGGACGATGCAGTTGGCGATGATGGTGGCCAGGATCATGTACTCAAACGGCGTGGGGAAGGAGGTGTTAAGGAACAAATTCACCTGAGAGAGGGGACACCCCCTCCAAGATGATCGTGCACAGAAACAAACAAGCTTTACCAACCCCCGTGGGCCCTCACAGTTTGCATGATTCGCGTTAGCAAGCAGGACAGTGCGTGGTCCTTAGCATGTGAAACTGGTCATTGGCACTGGTCTAGAACGCAAAGCGTCTTCTCCAAGGGAAGAAAGTAGCCAAGAATAATAGAGTCAGGCACAGGGCAGATACCCAGCCACTGAGTGCATTCCAAGACAAAGCCAGGAACCAACCTGGGCGGCAATGGTCAGGGAAGAGGAGAAGCATGGTTAATGCTGTAACAAGCCCCCGGATTATGAAATCTTGCTTCAGCAGACACCCGGTTGTGACCGTTGCCCTGTGGTCATTACATCTGGAGCTTTCTCTACAACCTCTGCTTGACCAAGAGAAAGAAAAGTCCCCTGCAAAAGAAACCGTTCTCCTCATATGAGCCCCCTTCTACTTTAATATCAAACTCAGAAAAATAAATCATGGGACCAGGAGAAGATTGCTTCATACACACCCCACCCCACCCCCGCTTAATTCCTCCTCAACTTTGACCTCTACAGGGAACAGAAAGATGTGGCATGAGTCTGAACTGAAGATGGCAAAGTCCAGCTCTCTAGGAACCAATGTTCAAATCAAGTAAATAAATGCGGGTGTTTTTTTTTTTTTCTGTTATATTTTTCTGAAGTCAGGTGAGGGGCTCTCTCTGCCTGTTTGAAAAACAGGACTACGACTCAAGTCTGGCATCCTGACTCCTGCAGGAAGATTCTGCTGCAAGCTCAGGGAGGTGAGGTGACTGTTAGGAAAGAGTGAAAGAGGGACTCGCTGGCTCCCAGAGCCCAGTCATTCTGCATGTTGGGATTTCATTCTGCAACTATTGTTATGACAAACTCACATAATCCAGGGTCACTGGTCTTGCAGAGCAACCTGTGCTCTGGAAAATTCCAGAATCCAGGCAGAAGAGTAGCAGATCTGGCCAAGGGAGAGAAGGGCAGACCCCATTCTCCTGTCTCCCTGCAGACCCAGGCTGGCTTGTAGGATGTACACAGGGCCTAGATCACCCGCTTCTAGTACAAAAGGGCAAACCATGAATATGTCCCCAAGAGCCTCCCATCCCATCCCTTCTGTGATATTTGTGTCAATGACAATGTTACATGAGCCCTCAGGACATCTCTGGGGAAAGTTTGGACACCAGGCACTCTGCAGGCAGAGGCCAAGTGTATATCTAGATGCCAGAGGCCAAACCAGTTGCTCTGGACCTGGTACTAGCACGGGAGGCTGCAGGGAGAGGTGTCTGGCTGCATGGGAACCTCAAGTCCTTTTCCTTCCTATTTGTCAGCTCCATGTCCTCCCCCTGTCACTATGCATCTCTGAGTCACAGGTACTCTCCAGCAGCTGGCTGTCCTTCCTTCCCACACATCTTCAGCACTCACTGAACCTTGACCCCAGGGACAGCTCTGCGGGCCTCTGCTTCCCTGTGGGTCCTGCCACCAGGTCTGAAAACTGGACCCACTGTGCTTGCTTCAGCCCTTCCAGTCGGAAGGGAGCCTCACGGTGTGGAAGTCCCTCAGCACCCTGGGCACTCCCCCTCCATGCAGCACTCTGGACACCAAGACCAGCCCTGAGAGCTAAGCATGCGGCAGGCACACAGCCAGCTTGCAGGTGCGCCCTCCCAGGACAAGACCCCCCCCACACACCTGTCAAGGCCACCAGAGTCCACTGATCACAGAGGAGGGCTCCTCCCCACCATGGTCGGCTCTCAAATGTAGAGTGTCAAGGGACCACGGCAGAGCCTGGTATCTCACAAGACCCCTGAACAGGCCAGGCTGTCCATGGCCTGGTGGAAAGACCCAGAATCCCGAGACTTATCTGGCAAAATGAAGATGAGAACATGGCAGAAACCACAACTGAGGAACCTGAGGAATGATAACAGAATGAGCACCATTTAGGGCACCATTCCTACCATGCAGGCTATGAAATATGAGTGCTATGGGAGGTCGCAATGAAATAAATGAGGGAACGCCTGGGTTGAGCAGAGGAAAGCAGGTTTCTTCCCACCAGGATTTCTTTTAATACCACTGTGTGCAGTACACACACACACACACACACACACACACACACACACACACCCAGGACTGGGAACAGGACACAGCATATCCCAGACTTGTTTTACCACACACCCCTTTTTTCAGAGCGCCTCTCGGGAGTGGTGTTCACAGCAACATGCTTGGACAGCCCTGATACACAGGGCAAGTCTCACTGCCAGGCCCCAACATGAGGAAGAGAAGAAGGGATGGTGGCTCCAACTGGTGTATCTAGTGCCTCTTCCATATCATCCTCGGCCCTTGCTCTCAACAAAACTGTTCATAAAAGTATGGGGCTCACCCGGCCCTTCCCCGTGGCTAGAATGCACCATGCAAGTTCAGAAACCTGCTCAGTACATCTGAGAAGCCGGGCCTGACCTGGGAGGCAGACCTGGGAATGAGCATTTCCTCATTAAGCTACAGATGCCACTAGCTCTCGTGGCGCTGCTTGGGTCTGCGATGCTTTGATGAGTCTTCTTCCCCTAAAAGCCTGAAAGTGGTAACCACAGCCTAGAAGCACATGGACTCCCAGGTGCTGAGACTGCGGGCAAGACAGGTCCTGGCAGCTGTGCGCCTCTGAGGACATTCTGCCCAATCATGCCTGCTTGATGGCTGCAGCTCCCCTGCCAGCCCTGCTCTCTGCTCCTCACTCTCCCCTCCACAGTCTGTAGCTCCCCGCAAGGAACTTTAAGTTCATCTAGTCCAAATGAAGATGTGAGAGGCTTATCTGGAAAGTGCGGCCTTCATCCCTGAAGGACACTCAGCACAGGAGGAGGGCCCTTAGACCCAGTGGCTGATGAGTTAATTCCCTGTCACTGTCCAGGTATCTGATGCTTAAAAAGTCACAAGGTCTCCAAGACTAGTATTGCCCAAGGCCCCAGAGACTAGAATCAAAAGGTGGGAGTTGGGTGATTCACAGGCTCTGGAAGGACCCTAGTCCCACTTCCTGTCTCAGACAAATCCTCTGCCTACTACTGTCTGATATATCAGGACCCATTAGAAGCAGCAATCCTTTGGCTTAAAATTTTACAATTGCCCATGTCCTGGAGAGGGATGTCCCTGTGAGGTTTTGCAGATCTAGAGCCTCAGATGAATTCATTCTGGATATACAGAATGTGAGGTGAGCCAGGCATGGTGACACCTGCCTCTAATCCCAGCAGCTTGGGAGGCTGAGGCAGTTCAAAGCCAGTCCCAGCAACTTAGCAAGGCCCTAAGCAACTCAGCAAGACCTTGTCTCTAAATGAAATATTTTTTTAAAAGGGCTGGGGACATGGCTCAGTGGTTAAGCACCCATGGGTTCAATCACCAGTACAAAAAAAAAAAATGTGAGGTGGGATTTTGATGTGGAAACAAGATGAGACCACAGAGATCCCACGTGTCTGTGGGCTAGGTGAAGAAAGGGGAGGAACCAGAAATCTTTGGGGAGAAGATAGGTAGGCAGAAGAAGAAAATAGCCACATGTCTGGGCCCCAGCCACTCACCATTACATCCTTTTTAAAATTGTCTTAACCTCTTTTCCACTTCCCTTTCTGAGGAAATCATCAAGAAAAGATATCTTACATCTTGGCACTTTTTCCGTCTCCTGTATAGCCTTTCTCCCCCCCTTCTGCTCAGGCTATGTCCAAGCTGAAATGTCCCTGTGAAATTTCTCCTTGTACCTCATTTCTCTTCACATGGCATTTTTTTATTATTTCTTTTATTTATCTCCCCACAAAACTACAACGTAAAAGCAGGCGTTTGCCAGGTATAATGGTACACATCCATAATCTCAGTGACCCAGGAGTCTGAGGCAGGAGGATTGCAAGTTCAAGGCCAACCTCAGCCACTTAGCAAGCCCTATCTCAAAATTAAAAAAATGGCTGGGGCTACAGGTCAGTGGCAGAATGACCCCTGGGTTCATCCCTAGTGCTAGGGGAAAAAAGAAAACAGGTGTTCATCATCTCTTTAGTGGCAGTGCTCAGCAGAGAACCTGGTATATAGTAGGAGCTTAATAAATGTTAAATGCAGAAAGGAATGGTGAGGTGTCCCCTGGAGGAGTAGCTCCATGAAGGATCCATTGTAAACACAAGTGTAGTCACCGACTCTGGCTCAGACCAGGGCTCCTGCTCACTCCCATCTCTGCAGGCTGCCTCCCTTTCTTCCTGCCGGTCTTCATCACAATCACCAACAACTTTATCTCCATACACATGAGACACGAGGCATCAGAAAATTACATCTATGAGAGATTAGGATCATGATTAAAAGCTTTGGCCCAGGAGTCAGACCATCTGAATTCGAAATCTGACTAGCTCAGTGGCCTTGAATTGATTATTTAACTCTGAGCCTCGGCAATTTTATCTGAAAATGGGAATGCTACTATACATCTGATATAGCATACGGTGGTTGAAGAAAATAACTCATGAAACATGCTTAGCATAAATTTTTCTGTTATTAGAATTACCATCAAATACAATGGCATTGATTAGTTTTCCTTTTTGGAAATAGTCCCATACCTCTTCAATATACTTATTTCCTTTTTCAAAAGCAAGTATCAAAGTTCTTCCTGGGTTAAAAGTGTTGTCGTTGATAAACTTAAAATTTTTATTTTACCCACATGTGAATACGGTGATCACTCTCTTGTTGGTATATAAACATATACGTGAAAACAACAGGAATCTGCTCCAATAATGGGTAATATGCGATGACTAGCAGAGGCTCTGCTGCATCTCCAAAGGCAAGAGCCTAGAGTGCAAGTAATGGCCCCCAGGTTGAGCTAATGCACCTTGCAGGTGAGACTTGCAAAGGTCAAAGGATGCTCCAAGTCGCCATGGCCTCAAAAACAGCACCCACCATGGCAATCGCAGGCAGAATGAAAGTCTGGGGAGGACT